CCCACTTAAAAAGATGAGAGAGGCCTGTAATTTTCATCCTAGGTACACTTCAACTATGAGAGACAGAATGGGGGGAAAGAATCCAGGAAATCACATTGTAGGACTTTTAATGAATTAATTGGTAAATTCCTCGGTAAAATAAGTATTTGGTCACCTACAAACAAACAAGATTTCTGGCTCTCACAGACCTGTAACTTCCTCTTTAAGAGCCTCCTCTGTCCTCCACTCGTTAACTGTATTAATGGCACCTGTTTGAACTCGTTATCAGTATAAAAGACACCTGTCCACAACCTCAAACAGTCACACTCCAAACTCCACTATGGCCAAGACCAAAGAGCTGTCAAAGGACACCAGAAACAAAATTGTAGACCTGCACCAGGCTGGGAAGACTGAATCTGCAATAGGTAAGCAGCTTGGTGTGAAGAAATCAACTGTGGGAGCAATTATTAGAAAATGGAAGACATACAAGACCACTGATAATCTCCCTCAATCTGGGGCTCCACGCAAGATCTCACCCCGTGGGGTCAAAAATGATCACAAGAACGGTGAGCAAAAATCCCAGAACCACACGGGGGGACCTAGTCAATGACCTGCAGAGAGCTGAGACCAAAGTAACAAAGGCTACCATCAGTAACACACTACGCCGCCAGGGACTCAAATCCTGCAGTGCCAGACGTGTCCCCCTGCTTAAGCCAGTACATGTCCAGGCCCGTCTGAAGTTTGCTAGAGAGCATTTAGATGATCCAGAAGAGGATTGGGAGAATGTCATATGGTCAGATGAAACCAAAATCGAACTTTTTGGTAAAAACTGTTTGGAGGAGAAAGAATGCCGAGTTGCATCCAAAAGAACACCATACCTACTGTGAAACATGGGGGTGGAAACATCATGCTTTGGGCTGTTTTTCTGCAAAGGGACCAGGACGACTGATCCGTGTAAAGGAAATAATTAATGGGGCCATGTATCGTGAGATTTTGAGTGACAACCTCTTTCCATCAGCAAGGGCATTGAAGATGAAACGTGGCTGGGTCTTTCAGCATGACAATGATCCCAAACACACCGCCCGGGCAACGAAGGAGTGGCTTCGTAAGAAGCATTTCAAGGTCCTGGAGTGGCCTAGCCAGTCTCCAGATCTCAACCCCATAGAAAATCTTTGGAGGGAGTTGAAAGTCTGTGTTGCCCAGCGACAGCCCCAAAACATCACTGCTCTAGAGGAGATCTGCATGGAGGAATGGGCCAAAAATACCAGCAACAGTGTGTGAAAACCTTGTGAAGACTTACAGAAAACGTTTGACCTCTGTCATTGCCAACAAAGGGTATATAACAAAGTATTGAGATGAACTTTTGTTATTGACCAAATACTTATTTTCCACCATCATTTTGCAAATACATTCTTTAAAAATCAGACAATGTGATTTTCTGGATTTTTTTTTTTCTCATTTTGTCTCTCAGGTATACCTAGGATGAAAATTACAGGCCTCTCATCTTTTTAAGTGGGATAACTTGCACAATTGGTGGCTGACTAAATACTTTTTTGCCCCACTGTATATTGCATAAAGCAATACTTATTCAAAGTGTTATACAATCAAACTTATGTGATTCATGTTGATTAATTATACGGACAGGTCGGTGAGCCAAAGCAACCAATTCCTTTCTCTTTCCTTGTTTTATTTTATTTCAAACCTAAGTAATAGAGTAATATGTTGTAGTCCATGTGTATATAGCCTATATGAAACAACAAAGGTGCAAAAACACTTTCGGCCTCTCCTTCCTGAGACAGGCCATCCATGAAATTTGAGCAGTTTGATTATAAAAGAGATAAAACATCTTTCAAATAACACACGCTGAGGGAAGGAGGAAAGCAAGTCTCTCTCCTGTCAACAAGTCATCCCTCACCCGGTGTCGCTCCGTGTCTTCGTTTTAATTGACTCTCCTCCGTCTGAGAGCTGCAACAGCACATCATCTGTGGCCTCACGTCTCTCATCACACTTCCACCACTTTGAGTAATAAAGCTATTTTGTTCTGCAGAGGAAGATTTGGCATCAGTCACAGGAAACATTTCCTAGGCTACAACCGGCACAGAGCAGCGCTGTCATGCTTTCAGAAGCACAACACGATTATCACAAACTATTGCTCACCAAATATAGTTGTTTTACCTTTCATACATTCATTTATGTCTCTTCGAGACACTATTTGGACTTGCATATTGGAATTAACACATGTTGTATTACATAAACATAAGGCCCTATTATGCTTTTAGGGGTTTTCCCTACATGGAAAACTTCATTTTTGTGAATGTAAATAATCTGCAAAGGCTAAGACCCAAAGTTCCCTCCAGAGGGAGTCTCTCTCCCACACATCCCCCCCCTGGTACCCTACAAGGTAGTTATTTGTTTACTTACATATAGTGAGATCACTGTGTACCACTCAGGCTTCTATTGACTAGCGCTCCAACAAATTGTATGTGATTTTTTAAAAGGTGGGACATCTCTAAATTGTTAACCAATCACAACAGAGCCGGCCAGCTAACCAATCAGAGCAGACTGGGCTCTGGTTTCAGACAGAGGGTGAAAAGAGGTGCTGCAGCACAGGCAGTATGAGAAAAATAAAGAGCTTTTTGAACATTAAAGCATGGAGACATGTCCCAGTAGAGACACAAAATACAAATTTGAACCTGAAAACGGTGATACAGTGAAATAAATAAAAATAATAAGTGGGCAGTTTTGATTCTGTGCCCACTTCAATCTGTCACTTATTTCTCAAGTACAGTGTCTAATCGGAATAGAAAATGAGATTGTGTAATTCAGTGGAATGGAGTTCCTTTTTTTCAGTTTCTGTCACACATCTGAAACTCCAGCTGTGGCTGCATGTCAAAGCTGCCAGGTTTGACAGGGAGATTATTTTCATGAAATCTTTGGCAAGTTCAGGACAGACTCTTTTCATTGCAGTTGTTTACAGATATGAATCATACACTGCAATCAATCACTACATTGTCCATGGCAGATTTGGTAAGGCAAGGCAAGGCAAGGCAAGTTTATTTATATAGCACTTTTCAACACAAGGCAATTGAAAGTGCTTTACAAAAAATGAAAGAGATTAAGAAAATGGCATTTAAAATCAGTCATTAAAAAGAAAAGCTAATAAAATAAACATTAAAAGCAAAAGTACATGGATAAAAGTTACAGTGCAGTCTAAGATATGAATAGTTCAATTAAAAGCAGCGACAAAAAGAAAAGTCTTCAGCCTGGATTTAAAAGTAGTCAGAGTTGCAGCGGACCTGCAGGTTTCTGGGAGTTTGTTCCAGATATTTGGAGCATAATAACTGAACGCTGCTTCTCCATGTTTAGTTCTGACTCTGGGGACAGAAAGCTGACCAGTCCCTGAAGACCTGAGAGATCTGGATGGTTCATCATTTAGCAGGAGGTCAGAAATGTATTTTGGGCCTAAACCATTCAGTGCTTTATAAACCAGCAGCAGTATTTTGAAATCTATTCTTTGACACACAGGAAGCCAGTGTAAAGACTTCAGAACTGGAGTGATGTGATCCACTTTCTTAGTGTTAGTGAGGACTCGAGCAGCAGCGTTCTGAATCAGCTGCAGCTTTCTAATAGATTTTTTAGTGAGACCTGTGAAGACACCATTGCAGTAGTCGAGTCTACTGAAGATAAAAGCATGGACAAGTTTTTCCAAATCCTGCTGTGACATTAGTCTTTTAATCCTAGATATATTCTTTAGGTGATAGTAGGCTGATTTAGTAACAGTTTTAATGTGACTGTTGAAACTCAGGTCAGAGTCCATGACTACACCTAGATTTCTTGCTTTATCTGTTGTTTTGAACATTGCACACTGAAGCTCAGCGCTAACTTTTATACATTCTGCCTTGGCTCCAAAAACCATTACCTCAGTTTTATCTTTGTTTAATTGGAGAAAGTTCTGACACATCCAGTCATTGATTTGTTCAATGCACTTACTCAGTGTTTGAATTGGAGCATAGTCTCCTGGTGAAATTGTTACGTAAATTTGTGTGTCATCTGCATAGCTATGGTAACTTATTTTGTTGTTCTTCATTATCTGAGCCAGTGGTAGCATGTAGATGTTAAAGAGAAGAGGCCCCAAGATGGAGCCTTGAGGAACCCCACATGTCATATTTGTCAACTCAGATGTGTATTTACCTATAGAAACAAAGTTGTTTCTGTCCTTTAAGTAGGATTCAAACCAATTCAGAACTGTTTCCGAAAGTCCCACCCAGTTCTCCAGTCGGTCTAGTAATATGCTGTGGTCAACAGTGTCAAACGCAGCACTGAGATCTAATAATACTAACACTGAAGTTCTGCCACTGTCTGTGTTTAAGTGGATGTCATTAAAGACCTTTACAAGAGCAGTCTCAGTGCTGTGGTTTGGACGAAAGCCTGACTGGAACACATCAAAACAGTCATTTAAATGCAAGAAATTACTCAACTGTTGAAAAACAACTTTTTCAATGATTTTACCTAGAAATGGCAGGTTTGATATGGGCCTGTAATTGTTCATTACTGAAGCATCTAGATTATTCTTTTTTAAGAGCGGTTTAATGACTGCAGTTTTCAGGGCCTGTGGAAAAATACCTGAGTGAAGAGATTTGTTTACTATATGAAGTAGATCTGAGGCCATGCAAGGCAAAACATCTTTGAAAAATCCTGTTGGAATAATATCAAGGCAGCAGGAGGAGGATTTCAGAAGTTGAATAATGTCCTCTAGGTTTTTATCATTGATCTGATGGAATTGTGTCATGATGTCTGAATTGATGTTAAGTGGAGATAGGGACAACACATTTGCTGTTCCTGATGCAGAGGCAACATTGGCAACAATGGTAACATTGGGAATGGCGGTCTTCAGGTTGGTTGAGCGTGACATAAACAGTGGTGTCGAGACACTGCAGTACAGCTTGTGCCGCTCCTAAAGATGCAATGTTTCTGTTTGGCTCTGTGCACACAAGTTGAACAATTATTTTGTCTTGTTTCAGGTAGAGGATGCCATGCTAATGTTTGACAAAACCACCAACCGACATAGAGGTAAGTTCAGGTTCCACTGCTACATACTGCCATTTTTGTGTATAGAGAAACACTCCATTCTTCTTCTAGTTTTAGATCAATATCTTCCACCATTGAGCTTTTTCCTGTTTCATATATATATATATATATATACTGTACACACATATGGTCACCGCAGTAACAGCCACAACTACATCAGTAAGTGTATTTCCTACTTCCCTCAAGGTCAGATACATTGTTGTTCATTTCAGATGGCTTTCACTCTGCTCAGCAATCCATACTAAATCTGTTCCCTTATCGTTGTGATTCTCCACACAGCTGACTGATACACACATATACACACGGACATGTCCAATCAACAGCACATGGCAATCCGGCCTGACAGCTAAACGCACCACAGAGGAGAACATTTATTTCCACTATCAATTTAATTAGCCTCATTTCCCCCTTCGGCCATGTTGCCCCTCCGATACGTCGATATGGATCTACACTGGCATTCTGGTGATTGCATGATGGAAGAGAGAGACATGGGGTGAGAAAGAATAAGAGGGTCAGTGAGGGAGGAGGCAGAAAATAAAAAGGTGCCCCACAGTTGAATAGGAGGATGGAGATTGAAGGAGGGAGGCCTGTGTGGTCCGATAAGGGTTCAGATAGCTGATGCTGCAGAGCGACGGTGAGGCAGGATGGTTATCTGCCCCCCCTCCTTATCTGAAGGCCTTATCTGTGGCTTCGGCAGTGCAGCCCTCTGCCCGAAAACAGAGGACTTTACAAAGACACAGCAGAGAGGAGGAGACAGATACAGGAACAAGTCAGCTACTCCAGGCCAACACAAGCTCAGGAGGGGTGGGTGGCTTCTGGAAAAGAAACACAATATAATATGACATGATCAGGACTAGATAGTGTCATTAAAAGGAGCAAAGTCAGTCTAAATACCTTTCTCTCATTAACTTAATCATTTCAGACTGGGTCTTATATCAATTCATTTGGTTAAGCCTCTTTTTGATAGTGATGGGACAGTGACATCTACTTGGTGACTACAAAGGAAAAACGAGCCATCGCACAATCATACAGATTTGAAAAAAGACGATCCACTGATGGCCATAGATGGTTCTTGGCTTTGTCTAGAGAAGTATCATTCCCCTTTATTACGCAATGGGCACATATTTATTCTACTCTATGTTGCTTGTTGTTAAACCGGGAATTGTCTATTATATGTCTTTGCGTCATGTATGATTGTTCAAAATATTTCATATCTTTGGCCACAATACAAACATCTCTGTTCTTTTTAAAACGTTGCAGTTTGATTTCACTAACTAGTCATTTTGTTTACACACATTATTGATGTGATGCTGTTCTGTGGCCGACAGTTGACTGTTCCTGGCCAGCACTACCAATTATTCCTAACCAAAATAGCCCCAAAAATATCTCACTGAACCGAAAGCCCGTCTGTCTGACATAAAACAAGAACCGGTTCCGGTTCGGAACCGGTTCTAACATTTCAATTCCAACGGCATCATTTAGACATGTGAATTTCGGTTCCGCTTTTCGATGCCTGAGGAAATGTTTCTCGCCGCTCTCCGTAGCCTACTGTATGACTGCGGCGGGGCGGGAAATGTAGCGTTGTACCTACACTTCCTACAGCGTAACCTGAGACCAGGGCCGGCCCGTCACACTGGCGTTATAGATGTTCGCCTAGGGCGCCAGATCTGTGGAGGCGCTGCGCTAACAGCTCTGGGAGGGAAAAAAAATGTTTTGACCGTTGGTGCTCATCCTAATTTTCGGCCTTGATGTAACAACATTCATAATTAAGTAAATGTAACACCCTTTTCATCCCGGTTAAACTTTTCATTTGCCCTGTACGATGGGTGCTGTAAGTGATGAAAATGGGGGATGTTGGCTTATCTGGCGCCCGCAGCTCACAGCCAAAGTGCGAGTGAGCGTGGGAGCGAGCGAGGGAGAAAGGGAAGGGCGCTGTTGTTATTAGCATCTGGTGCTAGCTGCTCTAACGGAAGAAGAAGAAGATGTTTCTACAATGATGTGGAGGGAGAGTCCTCTCCAGTCAGACTGAGAGGCTGATAACTACAGCTCAGTGAGGTAAAGAACTCTTGAGTGTTTAGATAGTTCACTTTAGTCTAAGTTATCTCAGTGGGTCTCAAACGTTTTGATCACAATTGATGTAAACATATTGCCAAGGCACTCCTTTATAATTATTGGGATAAAACAGGTTTGAAATCATTCCAATGTATACTATAGGACAGTAAACCAGACATATCGTTTTAAACTGGAGAGATAAAAAAATATGCATAAATAAAATAGTAAAATAAGATATTAATGAACAACAAAAATAAAATAAGTTACATGTATTTTTTATTGGCTATGGTAGGTTATTGGTTATGTTCACATACTTATTTAATTATTAAAATGTAAACCGATCTTTTTCATATGGGTGTTTAGAGTTGTACCCCCTAGATCTAGTCTCTAGTAATTCTGCTTAAAGTGCATCAGATTGAAGCATTTTACTTTAAAATGTTTAAACATTTCTTCCCGGTATGCCTGAGAAGGCAGATGTGCTTGTTTTTCTCAACAAGAACTGTTTTTAAATGGGGGGGGGGGGGTTTCCTTTAAAAGTTGGACTGTTGTAGCTTCAGTGGTTCTCAGGTTACAGTTACATAGCAGTGAATATAAACAGACTGATTAATGTGAATATTACTGTAAACTAACCTGTGTAAAGGTTTCTCGAATAAATGTAATTTTTTTGGTGGAAGAAGCAATTTATAATTTTTTTACCCTGCCCCTCAAAGAATCGGAATTGAGAACCGTTAAGAACCGGAATCGAAAAGTAGAATCGGAATCAGAATCGTGGAAATTCAAACGATACCAAACCATATGTGACCCGCTCTATCGAAATCAGTCGGAAGTCGCAACGGCTCATTTATTCAAAATAAATGTGGATTTGCGTAAAAAAATAGTTTTTCGGGGTTCGGGTGTTTTGTTTGATTTTAAATGAACAAAGTTTTGGCTTTTTTAGAATATGAAACTTTTATTTCCAAAATCACACGATAAATACATTTTTGAAGATGGGAAGATGATAGGAACCTCTCACTCGCAATGTGCTCTTCCTTAGCGCTAGGGATGTCCCGATCACCTTTTTTTGCTCCCGATCCGATTCCGATCATTTGATTTTGACAATCTGCCGATACCGATTTTTCCCGATCCGATCTTTATGCAATGCATTAAGAGAAAAAAAAGGAAAAAAGCATTCAAGTTGTCCCTTAAGGTTATTTTTTTATTTAAATGACAGTACCCATACCCATTCTATCCAACATGGATATAGCTTCTTTTTTTCACAGCAGCATTGGATCAGTTCAGTTGTGCAGCATTGGATCAAAACAAAAATAACCATGTAAACAAATTGAGTGCAGATAGTGCAGTAACAAAACAAAAATAACTCTACTGGAAAGAGGTAGCTTGACTAGCTTCACAAGTTCACATTCAGTCACAAATAATAAAATAAAATAAAAATGTGGCTTCGTGCAGAATTCTAGCCTTAAGAAGACTAACTAGCCTAGTATTAATGCAATGAACAACATCAGCTTAACATAACATGAATATCGTGAGCTTCCCCCAGACCAGTAATCCAAACGAAAATATCTTCCCTTTGTAGTATTTTGATCATTTGCTCCGCTAATAATAATCAGATCGATGGATTCCAGAGAAGAGGAAACTTTGAAGGCCTTTTTCTCAAAATGATGACTCGGTGACAGTCATTATATAATGTGACATATTTTGCTGACACATTTGATTGGTTCACACAGGTTGGTAGTGGACCAACCTGAGGTAAAAGTCAGCAGTGCATCTAGAAGGAGACCAAATTCGAAAAAAACCTCTTATGTAGTTCAGTCAGACAACTCACGTGTTTCTTAATATGTTTATTATAAGCAGCATATAGTTTGAGTTTGGCGTCTAGGCTCGGGCCTCATCACTCCACAGATTTACAAAGAACATTGAGTGATGATTAGATAACTATCCCCGAGCCTACAGGTGGAAGCTGGGGTGGAAGCTGGTATGGGCTCAGAACAGTCTCATAATACACACATGCACACAGAAGGATTCACACTTGTATTTCATGATCCGCAAAAGGATCCACACTTGTGTTTTTCAATGCACACACAAATGTGTTCCGTTTCATATACATGTAAATAAAATCCAAATGCAGAAAAAAGTTTTACATATGTATTTTTGATCCTCACATATTTGTTTTCCGTTTAAAACCTCTGAACCTGCAAACACAAACCGCTTTCTGTGCACGGATCGTTGTGCATTCGTGTGTGGGGTTTTTGAGACTCCCCTGACGGTCAGCCGATTCATACTTGTAATTTGTTCTATCTATAGCCAATCAGATGTCTCCTTCATTCTAAGCCAATCACATGAGCGCGCCCCCACGAGGGTAGATTTATTGCGTTCATGACACTTCATATACGCATTTTGCGCTGTCCGGTCAGCTCGCTAAACAGAGGGCGGGGCTTCAAGTGATCAGAGCTGCGTGTCTCTGTCAGACTCAGCAGCTGATCTGATCTCTCTCTCGCGTCCGGTTATACTTCACTCGCGTTTATGTCCATATCGATCAGATCCAGCTCTCCTAATCGGCCTTTATAGAGAGCACCGATCAAACTATTAAGAGTGAATATCGGCCGATAATGACCGGCGGGGCTCCCCCCGTTGACAGTTCACTGGCTTCGTAGTGCACTGATCGATTAGGCTAAACTAACCTGTAGCTGCTCCCTCCACACTCACAACAACTTCATACAGACATGAATAAAGCAGCTGGATTCGCCATACAGGAAACACACACTTAAAACGGTTTTGCCTGCAGTTTTTGTGTACACAAGCATTCATCAATGGTTCGGAAAGTGGCGCTGTACCTTAATAATATAAAGGTTTGTATTTGCGTGCATTTCCTGTTCGTAAAGTGGCAATGTACTGAGAGTGGAGGTGTCCTGAGATTAGCGCCTGCAGGCAGG